ACCCAATCTTCAAGTGTGTCTATTCAGATTCTAAGTGTGGGGTTTTAATTAAGTGTCCCTATAATTTCCGTATTGAACTCCAATGAGGTCAAGTTTCGAAAATTAAAAATACCTGAACTTGTGATGAGACCCTATACATCATTTGCCTCGTTGGTTTTACAAGTTATTGTTTGTCAAGAATGAATAAGTAGCGCTGATGATACATGCATGCAGATCAAAATTAATGCTTTAAAAAATCACTACATAGAGTACTGGAATTGAAATGGCAACAATTGATCAAAGTACCAAATATGAATCAGAGGTGAAGATAGTAGTATATTTCATAAAAGGGTATACAAACTTTATTTGAAGAAAAAAAATCCAACAACCAGCTGATGCTCATGGGACAGTTTATTCATTTGAAAGGGAACCTACATAACTACATATTAAAAAACCCTTTATAAATAATAAATAAACAGAACTTTGTACATTATTTTATTTTGTTTAATCTTAAGATAGGTAAGAGATTTTTTTATTGAGAAGTAAATATAAATACATACACATACTTTTTTTTAGTCAAACAGAGATCTTAATAAATTGTATGTACATAGTAAAATACATACAAATTATGTACATGTATATAAATCGACATTTCATACTTGGTAAAGCCATATTTTGTTTGAAATAAATTAAAATATATTAACCAAAAAATGCATTGAGTCAATGTAAGATCTGTGGATATTTTATCTCTAGACAAAATCTTATTCTCAGACCGAATCATTTCCTAATCTGGAACAATATGGAAGGACATAGTCCGACAAACCGCCTCGAGGTGCCCGAAACAAGGCAAACAAGCAGCATGTTAAATAAATAATAGAAAAATAACATTCAACAGATATCTCTGTACGTGTATCATAAGATCACTGTCCAATCCGTATCGGTATCGGCAGTAACAACAACAAATATTTGACAATCAACACTTGAATATAGCTACAACCGATTGTACAAGGTAAAAATTCGCGAATAAACACGCTCTCGTCGCCACTGATTTTACCCAATCCCAAGCTTTATTGCGTAAAAATTCTCAATAGCTTTACGATTTTGTTTGTTTGAGTGAGTATTGAGAGAATTTGTAAAAACAAATCTCTTAAATTCTTTGAACTTATTGATATTTTCAAAGCAAAGAAAAACTTAGCAGGTGCCTAAATGAAACCCCATTAGGTGTCTTCTCATTAAGAGGGCTGAAATTATAGGCAAATCATTTATTTATTTTGTTCTTTCATTCAGTTTGAACTTCTCGAACAAGTTGAGAAAAAGAGCCCTATACAGAAAATCGAAAAAGTAAACATATGTTGTCTTTAAGCCCAAATAAGCGCCAACTCCACACACAAAGTTTCTGTTTGGTAAGTGGGCTCGAAAACCACACAAGAACGATCGGCGTGCTCGGGACACGCGACCATTGGCTCCGTCTATAATCTTACTTCCTTTGTGTGCCGTAGACTGAGGATAAATAAAAATAGTAATATGTTGAGCCATGGAAAAGAATAAAATCATTAAAACAAGGTAAACATGATCACAATCTTTCTAATAATGCCATATAAGGTGAATACGTCTTTAAGTACATTTATAAACATCTACATGTACATTTGTATTTCTCACTAATTCACTTAAACTGCTTTCACATGTAAAAACTTCAAGTACTATTTTTCTCATAATTAAAAAAAAAACCACAATTAAACGTATTTGTTGATATGTAATATGGGTCTATCATTTAAATCATAATCAGTAATGAAATGGATTGGTGTCTTTTTGTTTTTTCCGTTTGTTTTGCTTATTATTTGCAAGATTTTGTTTAAACTAAACTGTTGTTGCGAACTTTGCATATCGACTTATTCTATTCATCAAAATACATTTTGCAATGCATTCAAATATTGTCAGGTGATGCCTAATAAAAATGACATTCATACAACCAATAAAATAAAACGGATTTTATAAAATTTCTTAAATATTACGAGTTACAGAGTCTTTTCTTCTACTTTTCATTTCATGACCATATTTTCAATAAAAGGAAAGAGCAGACATTTTGAGAATCCTTCATTTTAAACCCATTTAAAAATTGAATGAATTTTAAAATGTATTTTAAGATTGAATTATCAACATTATCCTCATTTTAAGTAATCCATGGCCACTTAAGATTCCAATCTTTTATTTATGCTTTACAGTATTTGAAATGATTTTGCAGTTCTAATAATTCCTTTATAATGATTTCTTAGCCAGTGAATTATAATGAGTCTCTGTTACATTATTAGAAGCAATTATATTTGAGTGCAAATAATAGATTTCTTTACGACACATCTCTAGTTGATTATGAATGTTCCATTTCTCATTTCGGCGTCAGTGTCGACAGCAATATACATACAGGCACGCTTAAAGCGAGATCAACCGGGCTCCAATTTCATGAATTGAATTTTTTTCGTCATTTCATACTTTAAAAAATGAGCTATAATGGACGCAATTAACCATAACCTCGTGGCTTGTGAAGCGTTGCACTTCTCTTGCTTTTACTCAAATATAAAACGTGTCGCGTGCAACGCACGAGCTAGGCTTTTTGTTTGAAAAGGAAGAGGGCTACTTTTTCTGTTTTGTTTGCATCAACGAGAAAATTAAGCATCGTTAAAATATTTATATTGAAAAATTAGATACAAACAGATAAAAATATAAGTGATTTAATAGATTTTTTCATATACTCTCTACTGTAACTTACTAGAAAAATTCTCAAAAAACATTTAAGATTCCAAACAGTGGTGCAACGTCATTTCATTATCCTGAACAACAAATAAGGCAATATTTGAGTTCCAAGAATTCAGCTAGTTTAAAGATTTTATTGTATCATTCTAATGAAATAAACATAGGTTATTATTGATGGTGTTTACATGTAAACATTGTAAATGTTTGCACGGTTTTAAAAAATCTACATTCCTTCACTTGTTCACGCTATCGGTATGTTTACTTGCACTGTTGATTTCAAGAAAACAATAGAAATGTTCAACTGTAAACATTGGTATCCACCGCCATCTGTAATTGGATCTTAGCAAGGCGGGAACTAATACACGCTAATCCTCCGCGCGCCTGTTCACCGACTCTTTGATGTAAATCCTCGGAAAAAATGAACACAATTGTGCTAAGACAGAGACAGTATTTCAAAGTGACCGACCAATTTGTTCGTGTTTGGTCTGACAGAAAATTGTATCAACCTTTCTCAAAAAACCGATATGATGGGGGAACAGTTAGAGGGTGGAGGCCCCCTATCGGCTTCTATTACAGCGCCAAACACGGTAAATTCGCCATATCAACCAATACGCATATTGCATCGTAATCCGATGTCGCACCGTCTCTTAGACTCACTGGAAAATTTCACACTTCGACATAAAATTACAGGAGACAAATAACAAGGGAATACATCTAATATTGACAGTTTATCACCAAACTACGCCCGGGAAGGCCCCGATGCTGCTCCGTGGCGATATTTGATACATTTAGTTTCGTTTCCCAACGTAATATGTTCTAATCAAAGCTGAAATTAATCAAAATACATAATTAAAAAAAGGAATATACGACTAATTTTCAAAGAGCTACATAAGACCCTCTGTGAAAATCTTTCAGGGTATTATAGCAGTATATTCTTATTTTTTAAGTTTACAATGCAACAAAAAATGAAAAAAAACCCCTTTTTTCATTGAATACATTAACGGATACATGTACCATTATGAACCAGGAAAATGCTTGATTATTTCCTCAAGGCAAGTTTAGTAAGTGAGTTTATTAATTTATCAATGCTTTTAAAAATTATTTATTCATTTGTTTACTGTCCAAATTGAACACAAAGACCTCTGAGATAAACTTTTGACAAATCTAGTCACTTGTGTGTAAACCGTACCACTTCTCAGTTCTGTGTTATCTAAGGCATAGATATTTATCATTTAATCCCATGCATATTTATCATATACCAAGGAGTATACGTGAGAGTTGTCCAAAATACCTGACGTTTTCTGGTCTTTTTCACGATTCTGATATTTTCCTTGCACGTGCAATATCAAAAAGGTGAAGAAAAAAAATGGAAAACGTAAGATATTTTGGATTTATGTGAGGGATGGATACAGATTTGTACTTTATACAATCCAAGGGGTATATATGTAAGGGATGGATACTTCGTTCTCTCCTTTTGTACTTTATATAAGTTCCCTTTAAAAACAAATTCTCTTTACTACACATATTTCAAACAGACCCTTCAGAAGTAATGTCTAGAACAGTTGCTTCCTGGCCTTCTGTAAACATATTTATTCCGGCAAAAGAAAGGCATCACGCGGGAAAGCACAGTCTTGTGTTTTTCAGCTTACCACTTGAGAGAATGGTTTTATCTCTTTATATACCTGGGACTGACAGGGAGTTCGCAATTAAATATTTCATTTATTTCATGATAAAGTTAAAGACAAAGCTTTCCTATTTTATCGTTTTTCGTTCTTGTTTAATTATCCCCTTTGCGTCAGCTTTTGTTGCGTGATATCGAGCCCTTAATGAAATTTACAATAACAGTTCTTGTGTATAAATTGTATTTTTAACATAAATGTACTTTAATATTCTTAAACTGGCGAATCAATTGATATGAGAAAGAGAAAAGCATAGAGCTAAATAACTGCAAAGAAGTATTTTTTTTTTAATTCATTCGTATCGTCGGCCAAAATTACATAAAACTTACTGAATAAGCTTTCAGGTTGAAATGTAACGAAAAGTTCTCTCATTTCCAATTATTTGGGTTCTTTTTTCATAAGATATCTTTGAAAATTAGGAAAATTAGCCGATGATTAAAATTTTCACCAATAATGATGCGCATCTTCGCGCATTGTTACAACACAAAAAAGCCTTAAACCGTACAAACTACGCGCATTGTTACAACACAAAAAAAGCCTTAAACCGTACAAACTACACTACAAGATCGATAAATTCTGATGCACCTTTAATTAATTCACCTGTAAATGTAAACCAGATCAGGAAAAGGATAACTCATTAAAAGCGAGAGGAATTGTAGTCCAGAACATGGTCAGGTTGAGGCGGAGCTAGTCTACGAGGAAAATTTTCGCCTTTAATTAGTCCACACCCGATGGCGCTCGAGCACCAATCAACCGCGACCTTTGGCCTTGTCAACTACCCGAATTCAACCAATGGCATTGTGAAGGCGCGCGACCAGCACGCGACCAGTGCACGCGAGGGACTAGGGATAACGGTATCATTTATTTGTTATTGTTGACTAGATAATCGATGAGAGATGAACATGAGAGAGATGCAAGAGTCCTTTATGTTACAACCAGGCCGTGTGAGCGCATTGCAGTCCCTGGAAAATGTCCCTAAAGTTGCCGCTTTTTATCATTGCAAAAAAGACTTACTGGACAGCAAACGACAGAAACCTGTAGCTATGTCTCGTAGAAACGCGCGTGAAAGAAGGCGCGTGAAAATGATTAATAACGGATATGAAACTCTGCGGCATCATGTTCCGGCTGGAGTGGACAATAAGAAATTAAGTAAAGTGGAAACGCTGCGTTCAGCAGTGGATTATATTAAATATCTACAGAACCTCCTCCAGTCCGAAAACTCGGTCCCACCTAGCTCAACAGAAACCACAACAATGACCGAAAAACCTTACAATTCATTTAATTCAAACTCTGTAACAGTCAAAGAAGAAAACACTTTTGAAAAGAGATGCTGTTCTGTGCAGGATGCGGAAGATACGTTACCTCCCTTACAAAGGTTTCCGGTGCAGGAGGAAGGGATGTTCGTGGACATTGCCCAGTGGTTGTATCAAAACTCAGAGCCAATTAAAGATAGTACCAGCATCCGCTTAAAAGGTAAGGACAAACAGGTCTTACCGAGTTTATTAAGGCTTGTCCTGTAATTGTCATTCGATCAAAATGTTTTATCTTTTTAAAAAAAATTGTCAGAGACAAAGCGTTTTCCCGCAAGCATTTTAGTATGTTAATCGTTCCATGCAATTTTTGATGAAGCATGCGCCCTCTGTCATATCTTCTTGTCATAATTTATAAATTAGAATCCTAAAATATGCATATAAAGAAGGAATAATTTGAAATCAGTGTATTCAAGCGTAGCTACCTTGTCCTCGCCAATGACACATCACTCGGAATCACACCCATGTTTTGAATATTTTCCTCGTAATATTTTCAAAGAACGATTGGGCATAGCCTCATTAAATTAGCTTCGACACATAAATCAATATTTTGGACCTTTAAACTCAACTTCAATCCACCAAAAAATTGTCAATAAGGTCCCTTAAATTTTCTCAAAAATTGACATTAACATTTGAAGTTTCGACTCGATAAAATTTCTGGTTTCATTGTCTTTTTTTCCATCTAAATCGATGAAGGCAAAGCAAATAGAGATTTATCGATAACTTTTTTTTTATTGTAGTAAGGCTGATCAAAAGCAACGTTGTCTTTTTCTATATTTTTTAAATTTGAAAAAATGGCTCTTTACTGTTATTCTCGTTACTGAAAAGTTCTGCTGTGGGGATTTTTTTCGATATTAATATCACAGTGAAAAATTCACTGTTCAAGAAATACGAAAAAACTTTATTTTGGACTTAACTTTTTAAAATTTGTAATTTTTATCATATGTTATTTCTTCATGATGTGCTTCACTAATCTAATTGTTTAATTGACCAGTGACATTTTTTGGACTTTTTGATGTGTTATAATTACAGAGACAGAGTGCTATGTCTCATGCTAATCTCTTATGCTGGAACCTCAAGAATAAAACATCGTAGAAAAATATTTCATCTTGGTCATATATTTTCAGAATCTATCAAACCCAGGAACGAACAAAAATCCCCCGTTACATTAATATAAACGAATGACTGACAGTTCTGTTTTGTCTTTTATGTCTTTGGTACAATCATACTTAAAATACATGCAAAGAAACAATATGTGTTGGTATATTAATATTGGAATTGTATGACAGTAAACAGAAAAAAGGAAGTGTTAATGAAAATCGCTATAAGTCCTATCTGCTATACATGTACTATGTTTTTGTTTTTAACGTTCTTCTCAATAAATTAACGTAAAATCATGGAAAATAATCTAAGCCCTATTTTTCCCCATTTTGTCTTACTATTTGAGTTTTTCAATTTTTGGACAGTTGCGTCATAAAGGATGGAATCATATGACCAGATTAATGGCCATGATTAATCTCGTAAGAATAAATCAATATCATTATTTTATTTTTATCGGTAAATAAAAAACAGCAAAAGAGAATTATCTAATATAAATAGCTAGAAGTTTGAATAGAAAACGGTGTTTTCTCGCGCGATTTGAATGAATGAAAAAGAACGACAAAAGCAAAGCATTCATAAACTAAATGAGAAACATACATTGTAATTATAGACGCAAAAGTAAGCAAGAATGGCATATTGAAATAATAGTCTCATACCATAAATCCAACAAAGCCTATTTTTTATCCATTAAATAAATTAGTATCAAAAGCTCTGAAATCCAAAATACAGGCAAATAGCTCAAAACAGGACTGAGAAATTTTCTTTTCGTTTTCTTAGGTCATACTTGATTCCAAACCTGTCACTTCATCTCGGACATGTGTCGGAATTCTAATCAAATATCATTTTTAGAATCCATAGAGTAAAATTGTTGCATGAGCATTTTCCACGTCTTGTCTTCGGCCATCTGCCGTTAATTGACCGCATGTGCCCCTATCCTTCAGGACTTCTGGTAATAAAGTAATGTAACGAAGAATGGACGGTCGAAAATTTCAAAAGAAGCAAGATGAACATTGTCTCGTACAATAGTTTCGCCACCATCGGTGTTCAATAATATTTTGAATATTTCATAAGCTATCAACTGACCCTTTGGAATAAGAAAAAAGAAATACAAAAAGTCATCTCAGTTTATGTCCTGAAAATCATTCGAAAATGGAATCTGTCACCTCGGCCTTTTGGGGATAAATTGTGGGTTATGCTATAGCCCGAGAGGACAGCGGTTAGCCCCCTTTGTTTTCTCTCCGTTAGAGGGCAGTTTATATTGTATCCTTCTAGCTCACATTTAAAAGGCCAAAGTGTGAATACTTTTGTTAAACTGTAAATTAAGGGCTATCCAAACTTGAAATGCATGATTTTAATTTGCACAAATACATGCCCCTGTCCTGAAGACAAGAGTCTTTAGGGTCAAGCCTCGGTCATCTAGAAATAAATTTCATGGACGTTTTGCTCTACAACAGGGTGGCAAAGAACTAGTGGCATTAACAGAAGTGGACATTATACTGCGATATTGGTCGAAGCTCGCCATTTTATACCTTGTCAAAACGCCAAATCATGCGGCCACAGGTTTCTATAGACATGCACAGATATTCCACTTAAGTCCCGTCATGTTTTATTGGATTTGAGTTTAATTAAAGACTACGGTGCATGTCTTGCAAAGATGATTAAAAAGAAGAGTTACATCCCCCTTGGCTTTTGATATTTAACTAAGGAAGTGTAACTTTGACTTTAGAAATCAATACCACCCGATCTATTAGCCTAATGTTTAAGAATATTACTGAGATAATTAAAATGTACATCTGTAGACCACAGGGGCGTCATGACTTTAAATCAAGATAGTATGTTAATTGTCCCTGCGGTATCATATTATGCCCATTGCTACCACATTATCATGAAGATTCATACATTTTATCAAATCGGACTTTGCCATGTCATTTAAGTTAACTTGATAACGAAGGATATCCATGTTATTAGTATTTTTTCTCTTGTTTTAGGTATGGACAACAATATCCAACAATCAGACTTTGATATGCAAAACATCTTATGAAAAAGGAGTTTTTCAAATCGGACTTTGCCATGTCATTTAAGTTAATTTGATAACGAAGGATATCCTATTATTAGTATTTTTTTTCTCTTGTTTTAGGTATGGACAACAATATCCAACAATCAGACTTTGATATGCAAAACATCTTATGAAAAAGGAGTTTTTTCGTTCATCTCGTAATTATATATGACGTCACAAAGTGCCTTCCAATTGTCTTCCACATGGCTGCAAACATAACAACGACCAATCAAATCACCCGGAATCCACCGCGTAGAACCAAAGACCATTTTGTAAACACATGTATATACAGATGTAATGTATATTCTGTTAATAAACTATTTATTGTTATTAGTGTGTTCTGAATTATTTCAGACTCGGTGACAATTAATGACCAAATCTGAGAGTTTATTGGTCAATAAAAGCTGGCCATCAATGGGTCATTTTCGATCATCAGTAGTTTCTGTAACATTGAAAGTACAAAAGTAGCGCCCATTTCACTCCGCAATAAAACGATAACGGTATTCTCTCACTGATAATTTAGCCAAAAATCGGATTTTATTCCCTTGTTTAACGTAATAATATCAAATTTGGAGCATGCGTGGAATTTATCGCTTTTACAGAATTGCTGGAAACTTCTCTTCAGAAAACAACACGCGATCACAGAATGCAATAAATCAACGTACATTTTCTATAGACTTGTTTTAGAGTCAAGTTTTATTGAAAAATGTGATGTGTCCTTGAAACATTGGTGATCCCGTAGGACAGATTTAGCTAATATTAGGTTTAATTGTTTTTGCAGCCCGGAGGACCGGGCTGCTCTATACATATAAGTTTAAGTGTTGGTGTATGGGGATTGGGGCGGGAGTAGTTATTCAGAATTAAAGGTTTTCTAAACATTGGAAAGATTGTTAATCAGATTGTTCTTTCCTTGATAAATTAGGAGATACATAATATATTTACTTCCATAAAGTGAATCTGTAAAAATATATATGTTTTTCATATTTAATATATAAAGTTGCTTATCATTTACTATAGAAAAAATGACAGGTCCCTTTTTTTTTTAGAACATCGAATTTTACTTCTCGCATAAAAACGTACTCTGCACAGTTCGTGTTTTATATTCGAAAATTGAAAATTAAAATACATTTTTGAATATAGTTGATGCATGTGTCTAACTTCAATTTATATTTTATGCAGCCAACATTTACTTGAGGAATTGATCAAGTTTTAAATGGTACCGTTTTTGTTTGATTTTTTATCCGACTATGAGTTTTCAAAATGTTCTCCACTATCGTCTCCATCAATTAGACGCATGACTTTTCACACATATCTAAGCGGTTTGATGATGAAGACTTATTTCCATTGTTTACTTTTATATTTCCCGGGCGACAATTGATGGTTGCATCAATGTTTTCTTGTTTTTTCTTATATAAGTCTCCATGTCACATAGTGGGATTCGAAACTACGACCTAAGGATCAACTACTTACTCTGCGATTTTAGAGCAGTCACTCTACCACTGTGCCACACGGGCGACTTTTCTAAAATGCAGCTCCAAGGTCAAGGAATGAAAATGTTACCTAGAGATTGAACTAGTTCTCAATGAATATACAGTACATATACCTATGAAATATGAGAGTCCAAGCACTAGCCAGGAAAAGGTTAGGGCCAAGGTTATTTCTTTTTAAATATGGATCAAACTCCAAGGTCAAGGCCAAATGGTCAAATTAAAGGTACATAGGGAAAGAACTTGTCATAAAAATGTCACACGTAAAATATCAAAATCAGAACATCAACTGTTCAAAAGTTATAAAAACTTATTCAAAAGTAGGTCAAACTCAAAAGTGCCAAATTATAATTCAATTTGTAAGTTATTTAATGTTATCAGAGTAGCCCACTGGATAACAACTGTATGCCCCTGATCTTCGATTTCATTGACATTAACAACCCGAAGTCTTATTTCTTTTACAAAAAGTTATTTAGTTGACCGTCATGCAAGTATAAAATTATGTTACGTTAACGCTGATATTAACAAGTGTGAATGCGGGTGTGTGGTCGATCAGTTGTTTCTAAGTATATACTTTTCCCATTTATCGAGTGAAATCTTTTGGAGCAGTCACCCTCGTGGTGCAGTGGTTAGGGCATCTGCTTTAGAGTCGCCAAGTAAGGAGTAGATCCCTACGTCGCGGGTTCGAATCTCATTGTGGTACGTGGAGACCGGTACTTCGGATGAGACTGAATGAACCGAAATCCCGTGTCGCAGTAGGTGCTGTCATGAAAACAATCCCTCCCTGCTCAATGGCCGTAAGTGCCGAGTATAGGACGGAACTTGCAGCTCTCCACCGGCAAGTGGTGGTGTCTCCGTATTAGTGAAAAATTCTCGAGAGGGACGTTTAACAACATACAATCAACCAATCAATCTTTTACAATCATCTTTGGATTTTTATTGAACGGGCGACTATACAGATCAGACTTTGGATAAAACGTGAATTATACTTATCGGAACAAATCAAGTTATACGACGTTCAAGCGTACTTGTATTGGAAAACAAATGATTGGTTCTTTGAGATGGATACAACACCTCAGTATTATGAAAAAGTTACAAAAGCATGCCAATTGGTTATCAACATTTGCATTTTTGATGTGGTATTGTATGGTATGTATGCTACCTTCTATATTTGCTTGGCGAGCAAAGCGGCCGTTTGCATGTACCAACTTGATTGATCGATTGAATGTTGTTTAACGTCCCTCTCGAAAATGTTTCACTCATATGGAGACGCCATCACTTGTCGATGGAGAATTGCCAATTTTTTTCCTTTGCTCCGCACTCATGGCCATTAAGCAGTGATCGAGGGATATTTTTCGTTCCAGCGCCTACTGCGACATGGGACCTCGGTTTACGGTCTCACCGGAAGGACCGGTCTACATTTCCCACAGTGGAATTCGAACCGCGATGCAAGGATCAAACTAATTACTCAATGCGTTTCTAGAGTAGGCGCTCTAACCGCTGCGCCACGCGGGTTAATTTGCACAAATTGAAGGTGGTCCATATTGGTTTGCTTATGGAAATGCACTACCTTTTGGTTGCTTAGAATGTGGAAAATATTATAGATCATGGCGCTTGGACTGAGATTAACAACCGCTCCTGGACGACACAAAGTATGCTGCGTATGGCTGAGGATGTGCTTGACATTTCGCAAAAAACACTCTCTCGTCAACCTGGTGTCTATTTTAGAGAGATTTAAGTTCTTGTAACTGTTTCCTAGTAACAATACCGAGCAGTATGCTACGATCTGAAGTAGATAGCGAGAAAAGGGAAAAATCGTTTTAAAGTCGATAGGGGTGAAGACTTTGTGTTTTACTTGGAGCACTTCGCGGGAACCTGCGGGGCGGTATAAAAGGGGTCCCTGTTTGGTACCGCCAGTATAATGCAATTAGTGAAAAATGTCACGAACCACACGCGACCTAAGAGGCAAACTGACCACACATATAGTGAATAAATATACAGTAAGCGCAAATAAAGTGAAATTAGTTAAACACGAGAGCTGATTAAGCTACTGTAGAAGTTTATCGCAAATAATCCCCCCATTAACACTTACCGAGCGACAACTGTCAACAAAGAGGCTAGGTTCAGTAGGAGTAGACAAAGATGTCGTACAATAAAGTCAGCAAATAAGAGGCAATAAATCAGAAGATTAGCCGCAAAAATTTATGTCTTAAAACACTGAAATCCAAAACTAGGGCTTTATGTTGCAAACAATTAAGAAAAATACATAAAACTATTAAACTTCTAAATATATACTATATAAATATAGTGATTAATGGGTCAATATATTAATGGTAATTTTATCATGCGTAGACTTAATATTTACTCATTTGACAAGATGTGGTAATGACTGTTATACAGTTATTATTAAGCTGTCAATGGGTGGCATAAACAAATTTATCGAGCGCGTTCAGACCGAGTTTACATTCTGGCACAAGAAACTGTCAAGAAAAATATTCCGGACATTAGCACCCTCTTGAATGCCATTCTTGACACGAAGTGCCGGGAAAAAGGTGGAGAAATTTGACGAAAGACGTGAAAATGTCTCCCCTTACCTATAAAATCACTAAACTGTTTTCTAAATCCATTAAACATTTTGCAAATAATGTCATCTTATAAATAAGTAGAATTTTGTTTTTGACTTAGATGTCATGGAATTCTTTAGCAATTCAACATTTAAAGAAAACGACTTCCTTTTTCTTTGAAACAGTTACTAGCATGCATAAGTACCCGGTATATAGCTGCAGAATCGGGGATATTCTTGAATTATAACTACAGTAACAGTTGTTAACAATCCTTATATTTAGTTTGGTTCCGGTGTACCCGATTGTGACAGCAGGTGTGTCCCCCATTGTCAGATCCTACATTGATGGAGTGGTCTCGATCCACTGCAGACTTTACACTAAGTGTTATATTTTTCTCAATTGAAGTGTTCTTAGCTTTTGATATTAGACATGCTTTTAACAAGTAAGTTTTACGAATGTATACCTAGAACTCGAAATGCACACCTCAAGTATATAGATTGTTCGCTCTAGAGTGTTTCGTAATGTTTCATCGTTTACCAAGGGTTATTCCCTATTTGAAGCCAGAACTATTCTTGAGTACACAATGTTTATGTCCATATTTGCAGAGAGTGAGAGATGCAAAGCATGCTCAGGTATAGTAGTGCATATTCACAATCCTTCAAAATGACAAATAAAGATTTAAAAAAAAAAAACTTTTTTATTCTTGTATTACTGCACCCATTTTTCATGACCTTTTATGGCAATGTTATATAAAAGCATTTTTATCTGGCTTAAACTTTTTTTCTTTTCTCGAAAATTGTTACGTATGGATATCATGAATAGATTTGTAAAATCTGTAAATTTAAGTAAACACTAATATCATTAAGCTGACTGTGGTTTTACGACATTACAATTTAACCTCCGGCAGTCGCGTGCTGAAGCGCGATTTATATCAGGCGTTCATCTGTC